CGGGTATGAGTTTTCTCCAACTTGAGAAATCGGGTTCAGCTATGTAACTCTCTGCCCTTGTATCCGTCCTGCTGCATTTTTTTTACAGCAAAGAAATATATAAATATATATATATATATATAATTAAAGTTAAGTTTTTTATAAATATTAAAAATACAAATTAATTATTTTAATAAATAACTAATTTAAATTATAACAATAATTAAGTAACAAACTTAAAATTGTACATTTAATTAAAAATGTAATTTAATTCATAAATTTTCTATTTATAAGTTCTTATTTAGTATTTTTTATATATTATTTATATTATGATATAATTATTAAATTATACTTTAATTTATTTAAAATGTATAAGCAAATTAAAATTTTTAAAAAAATATTTGATGGGTCTCTATGCATTTGCCTGAACCCAACAATTCGATGGGGATGGGGATGTTTTAAAAATATAAACTTGTCTATTTAAAGCTTGAACCCAAACCCGGCCTACCTTTTATGGGGGTGGAGATGGAGAGAGCAAAATCTGCCCCCAACCTGCTCTGTTGCCATCCTAAGTGCCTTATAAATTTGTAATCTTGTGGCTTTTATTCTATTTGGATATTCTTCCAGTTTCTACTTTATGATTTCCTTGTTCTGTGTTAGAAGAAAAATGTACTGGTCTCTTTTTTTTAGTGGGTTTATGTTTAGTGAAGAAAAATGTACTTTTTTTTGAAACGTGTGTTCTTTTTGTTTTCCCTGTTATGAACAGGTAGTTTACATGGCTTTGGTGGGATCGTTTCCATTTAACTCTTTCCTATCAGGAGTACTTTCTTGTGTAGGAACTGCTGTTCTGGCTGGTAAGTGTTCTATGTTTATTACAATTTGAAGGGTAGCTAGTTATACATACATATATTTCAGTACAATTGGAGACTTTTAAGCCTCTCAGATGCATATTGCAGTGTTGGACTTGTAAACCTGATAGATATATATGCATAAATCTTGTTCTTGTCTTTCTGATCATTGTTATCCTCCCTCATTTTGGACCAGTTTGTCTCCGGATCCAAGTGAATAAAGAGAATAAGGAATTCAAGGTAAAAATACTTTTCTTGTTTATTTGATTTTTTATTTGACATTTAAATTGAAAAATCTGTTATTACTCATGTGAGTTGCAACCCATGATATTTTTAGGTTTGCTTTCTTTTATTCACCGTGTTATATTTCGACAATGTGGCAAGATGATGTAGTTTCAAACTTAGATCTCTACATCTTTAACATGACAAAACAAAGGAACAAGGAAATGAAGAAAATTTTAAAAATTAAAAATAAATTATATATATTTTATAAAAGAATCATTAAAAAAATTGTTATAAATATTAACAATAAAAATATTTCATGTGGTAATTTAGGAAAAAAGTCATGAAGTTTTTTTTTATAATAGGAGAATGTGAATTTTGAGAAAAAAGATAGAAAAAAATTGAAGAGAACTTTTTTTTGGATAGAGAAACGATAACTTTTGAAAGGAGTAATGAAAGGATATAAAACTGATTTTTAGTGAAAAAATGAAGAAAAATGTTATTTAGATCAATGACATGATTCAAATTAGAGTATGTATCAGTAAGTTTCATTATAAATTAAATAATTAGTTATATTGAATCGCTTATCAAAATAAGTTTAAAATATCTCACGGATTACTTATTAGATATTTTATAAGTTTGTTCAAATCCTTTCATAAGTACTTATAAAATAAGTTAAGTATAAATAAGTTGTTCATAAGTTATTTCAAATAGGATTTTAATTATGTTTTTAGTTTTTTAAATTTGGGATAATTACTTTTTTGTCTCTCAAATTTAGATTTGTGTTTTAGTCTATGTAATTTCTTAAAATATTATTTTAGTCTCTCTATATATATTGGTCTCTTAAATTTAAAAATATGTGTTTTTAGCCCTCAAAATATAAAAATAAATGTTTTAGTACTTCAAATTTAAAATTTATCATTTGTATTTGTGATTTCAAAAAATATTATTTTAATTTCTCATAATTACTAATAACATAATTGACAATGATAAAGAGTTAATCACCTATACATTGTTAGTGTAAAGTTTTTTTACACTGACAACCAATTATATCTTTCAATTGTGCTATGTCATTGTAAAAAGTAAATGTGTTTATAGTGACATGACACAATTAAAAGATATATTTGGTTGCTAGTATAAAAAACTTTATACTAACAGTGTATAGATAATTAAATTCAAACAATTTTGTAATATTGGTTGATTTAATATAATATTTTCACTGATAATAATATTAGTGGAAGAATTTTGTGTACCAGATTTACAAATGATATTTGAATAGAGAGACTAAAAATAGTATTTTTTAATATATTTCGGAGACCAAAAACACATATTTTAAATTTGAGAGATAAAAAATATAAACAGAAATTAAAATAATATTTTTACAATTATAAAAACTAAAAAAATAAATTTTAAAATTGAAATATCAAAATAATTTTTTATATATTTAAAGACCAAAAATAAAAATTTTAAATATATAATTTTAAAATTTAAAAACCAAAATATACATACCTGGAAGACTTAAAAACATAATTAATTAATTAATATGTTAATACAAATATGCTTCAGATGCTGCATGCAGATTGATATTTTTAAATATGTATCCATTTTTTTAAATATATTATTTATTATTAATTAAATGTTATTAGTAATTATAAAGTTATAGATACTGTGACTCATTAATGGAAAGTGGAATATATGGAATTTCGTAATTTTTTAATAAATCGGAGAATGTATTATTAATATTTCTCCTTTTATTTTATCTCCAAATTATATATCTTGTCTTATTTATAGAAGAACGCAACTAGCACATTTTCTTTTTCACTCATAAAAAAACACATTTTTTAATACACTAACTACTATAAAAATTATTATTGATAATAAAGTCATTAATAAAAATTAAATAAAAAATAATATCTTTTTTTAAACACTTTTTTATATAGAATCTTATTATATCGCTTATTTAACTAAGTGCTTTTTTTTTATGTTCCACACATTTTTATACACAATGGTTAATTAATTAAGCGCTATCTAAATGAAATTGTCTTTTTCAACTTTTGGCATAATAGTTGGGTTTTTGAATTTTAACTTCATTATGTAAGTTAATTCTTTCGTTATACTTAATTATTAATTTTGTTAGTTTCTTGAATAGTCAACGGATAAGTATCAGATTAACATATATTTTCTCTCTTAGTTTGTTGTTCTCTAAACTAATTACTTACTATGAATCATAATGTAAGGTTTTGATACTTTTCAACCAATAACGACACTTTATTTCTTTGTCTATTCTAACTATGACACCCCCTCTATCCCACATACGTATATAAATGATAATGTAGAACAAAGGATATAAAAATACCAAATCCATGCATAAATAATAAAAATGTAGTTTTCAACATGTGGTAAAAAGTCTCGCATGACAACCTCTCTAAATGAAACTCCATAATAAAGCAAAAATACACATTTAAATACAATTTCTATCATAAGAATAATAAAAAAAATCATAGTCAAAACTCCATGTCACATATCCTATCAGAACACTTCTAGAACAGAGATTAAGTCTTGTCACTAGCATTATCAATATCCTAATGAGCTTCACTTGCAATAACATGTATAACAACAATAAGATAGAAATAGGGGGAGTGAAAAGTATCTTACTCTAGTTCATGGCATGAAACAAAAGGTGGATAGCCACACACACTCAACAATCAACATATCCTTCATAACAATAACATCAATATTAAACACATAATTAACATTATCAAACCACAATAACTCATTCACAATACATTATATCATTAATCTTAAAAGACAAATACACATGCAAATATATGAGATGCAATAGACATGTACTTGAATTTCACATGCATGTGGTACTAATCACAAATATGCATAGTGCATATATAACAATTTGTTGGTTTTCGTGCATATGATACATGTTATTAGACTTAATGTCATATTATTATAATTCAATGTGCATACTCTACAATTTGTCAATCACATTTCATTTACATTATTCATGTCTTTCCAACACCAATACCAATTCACAAACTTTACATCAATCATGTCTCACATTAACATAAATACATACTCAACATATCATTCTCAGTTATATTCATTGATTAGTATAAGAGTCACATGTTCGTAATTCAAACACAACAATTATACAATATCATCTAATATATCTTAAGATAGAATCATTATGAAGTCATATAATCATATGTTAATATCTCAACCATAGTCACTAAGATATCAACATCACTAAGTATTTAAATCAATAGTTTAACTAGTCTAGCTATCTTATCAATATCACACATCAAGTCCTTAGACATTGCTATCACCTAAACACCTCAAGTAATTAATAATCATCAACTTACATCATAGCTTATTAACTATTATTTTCTATCATGATTTCTCCTTCCTAAATATTGATATAGGTACTTCAAACCATTTGTAACATCAAACACTTAAGGGGTAAAGTTATTCACCATCACCATTCACAAACTACATTTTCATATAACTTAATCTTCTAAAATATGTGGGGTCTAAACACCTTATTTAGAGCTATATATATGCTATTGAGTTATTATTAATTTTATTAGAAAGCTAATACAATTATCTAAAATTTCAATGTTGACCTCAAAAGTTAATTCTTTCATCAATTATTTTTTCAAAAATACAAAACTGCAACATTTCACCTAAGTCTAATAGTTTGATCTTCACTCACTAATTAGATCATATATAACTCGAGTTTTAAACCTTCTTTCTAGGTGATTCTAATGGAATTTGAAATATAACATCTAGGGCTACAGATTTTATGAAGATTACAAAACCTAATTTTATCATTTAAATCTACTCAAAAGTCTTATAATGCATGTATGATACATTTTGCATACAAAACATGGGGTTCATCTTTTAATTTACATAATTTAATTATTTCTTAATATTTTTATGTGATTCTTCGGTTTAAACTGTAGGCCCAAATGTCTACTTTCTAATTCAACAATAAAAATTATTTTAAAGAATTTTAATTAATAGAGATTTTTTAATTCAAATTTTAATGAATTTATTGTCATAAGAATTTGAATGATTTGAAAGGATTTCATGAGATTTCAAATGCCAACCTAATTTTTAACAAAATAGTACAAGTAATGAAAATATACTTAAATGAAAAGGTTTGAATAAAGAAAAATATAATTCATTAATTTTTTTATTCTTTAAATAAATAATTGATTATAATGTCATGTCTCTCTAAATAACATTTCTCTACATATAACTATGTACATATTGATATCTTCTTGTTCATATTATTGGATTTGAACAATAAGTTAAAATTATATGATCTTTATTAATTGATAATATTGAAGATGAATATTTGTCTAGTTTAATTAGAAATTTACGAAAAAGGCATTATTTATGATAGTGTTAATGGAAGTGTTAATTAAAAGAAAATTGAACAATTCATTTTTACATCAAGAGTCATTATTATGATTAACAAAATCTCATAAATTTTATGAAATTTTTGGTAATGACAATGCCACAACACGATATATATATATATATATATATATATATATATATA